AGCTGTATCTAAGATTTTACAGATTACTGGAGATTCAACCTGAAGAACAATAAACTCATTAAAAAGTTGGTAAGATGAACACTTTACCCAGTATTGTTCTCTGTATATATATATTTTATATATTTTTTATTATTTTTATTTTACGTGTATGAGTGTATTGCCTGCATACAGAAAGGTGCACCCGTGTTATGCAATGTCCACAGAGCTCAGAAGAGGGCATCAGATCCCCTGGAACGGGAGTTATGGATGGCTGTTAGTTGCCATGTGGGTGGTGGGTATTAAACCTAGGTCCTCTGTAAGAACAGCCCATGCTCTTAACTGTGAGCCATCTCTCCAGCCCCATCTCCTCATATTTGCTAAATGTATGTTTTTATTTTACATAAATCATTCAGTATTTTTCCTAAATTAAGCTGTTTGTTTTGAAAAAGGGTCTTGCTTTATAGCCTTGGCTAGCCATGAAATCTTGGCAATCCTCCTGAGTGCTGGGATTGCGGACATACATCACAGTGCCTGGCATAAATATAGCTTTTTAAAAAAAAGATTGTCAGAGAGCCGGGCATGGTGGTACATGCCTGTAGTCCTAGCACTTGGGAGGCAGAGGCAGGTGGATCTCTGTGAGTTCAAGGCCAGCTTGGTCTACATAGTGAGTTGCAGGCTGGAGACTCTGTTTCAAAAAGACCGAAAGGAAAAAAAAAAAAAAAAAAAAAAAAGACTGTTGGGAACCAAACCCAGTTCTTCTTCAAGAGCCATAAGTGCTCCTAACCACTTGTGCCACCACTCCAGCCCCAAGTAAGTGCTTTTATTTCTAAGTAGAAATGGCATGGGAGAAGAGGTAGAAAAAAGAAGATGCCAGAAAAAGGGGAAAAGTTTCTGGTTAGAGCTTACAAAACAAGATGCTAAAACATTATGGCAAAATAATTAGTTCTACTTAAAAGGGAAAGTAAACCTAATTCAAAGATGTGTCAGATGTTGAAATTACCCTTATCAGGGACTGGAAAGATGGTTCAGTGGTTAAGAGCACTGGCTGCTCTTGCAGAGGACCCAGGTTCCATTCCCAGCCTCCACAACCATCTATAAATCCAGTTCCAGAGGAGCTGATGCCCTCTTTTGGCCTCTGCAGGAATTGCAGGACACAGGTGCACTTACATGTAGGCAAAACATACATACACATAAAATAAAAATAAATATAATTTGGCCAGGCGTGGTGGCATATACCTTTAGTCCCAGCACTTGGGAGGCTGAGGCAGGTGGATCTCTGTGAGTTCAAGGCCAGCCTGGTCTACATAGCAAGTTCTAGGCCAGCTGCGGCTACAAGGAGACCCTGTCTCAAACAAAACAAAACAAAAACAAGCAAATTAAAAAAATAACCATTATCAGATGTTATGATAATTGTGAAAATAGGGGAAATGGGAGATAACATATGACTAAGAGGGTATTCAAGTAGAGAAAAGGAGATCATAAAGAAGATCCGAATATAAACAGTAAGAGATGAAAGGTGTATCACAGACGAGCTCATTCAATGGAATGGACACAGCAGAGGAGACAGTGAACTCGATGAGGGTTAGCAGAGATGACCCAAACTGAAACATAGGCAAAAGTGGGAACAAAAGGAAGCCTCTGAGATTCTGAGACAACTTCAAACTAACATGTTCAATTGGAGGAAAGTAGAGGAAAAAAGGAATAGGGCAGAAGAGATTTTTGAGGAGATAATGGCCAAATTTTCTAAAATTCATCAATTATATGAACCCACAAAGTTCAAGAAGTTGAGTCTAGTTCATGTACAATAAATACAAATAAAGTCACGCTCAGAACATAATCAAAGGGGGGATTTTTGAGTTTCTAAAAGGAAATATAAGAAAGTATTTTCATGGCTTTGGGGCAGCAAAAACTTCTTAGGACACAAAAAGCAGTAAGCATAAAAGGGAAAAATATGATAAATTGTTAATAGAATAATATACTTTTAGCCAGGCGTCATGGTGCATGCCTTTAATCCCAGCACTGGGAGGTGGAGGCAGGCGGATCTCTGTGAGTTCAAGGCCAGCTTGGTCTACTTAGTGAGTTCCAGGACAGCTGGGGCTACAGGGAGACCCTGTCTCAAAAGGACCCCCCCTCCCCAAAAAAAGAATAATATACTTTTGGGGCTGGAGAGATGGCTCAGTGGCTAAGAACACTGACCGTTCTTGCAGAAGATCCATGTTCGAATCCCAGCACCTACATGGCAGCTAACTACTGTCCATAACTCCAGTTCCAGGGGATCTGACAGCCTCTTCTGTCCTCTGCTGGCACTGCATGACATGGGTGCACTTACCTACATACATGCAAGCATAACACTCATACACATAAAATAAAAATAAAATATTAAAAAAAGAATAATATACTTTTGTCTTATCAAGACATTATAAAGATGAACAGTCAAGTCACAGATTAAGAAAAAAAAGTACAATACAAAGAGTTTGCATCCATATATATGAATATATATCTCCAAATACACACACACACACACACACACACACACACACACGTGTGTGTGTGTGTGTGTGTGTGTGTGTTCTTAAATTGAGAAAAAGGTTTACCTGTATCCCTAGCTAGCCTGGACCTAGCTATGTGGACCAAGCTGGCTCTGATATCACAGAGATCAATTTGCCTCTGCTTCCCAAGTGCTGGGATCAAAGGTGTGCACCACCATGCCCAGCCAGAATATATTCGAACTAATAGAAAGAATATAAAGATAAATGAACAATAAGAAAAGTGGGTAAAAGACTGACAAATTCTTTATTCTTGACCAATAGTCAGCCCTCCTTGCAACTATGCATTGGGTCTTGTCCACTTCTAGGAAGAATTCCTATACTTGTTATCTATATTCTGACGTGCTTTAGTAAGGATTAAGTCAGTTTAGTTGAACTGCAGACCCTTGATGTTCCCTCATCGTGATTTTCCACTTGTTCAATTCCCTCATTTGGCTTGTTGCTATAAATCCTGTGCTGTCTCTTCTGTATTCAGAGTTGAGCTTGACCTCTCTGAGCTATTGCAATAGCCTTGTTTATTTACTCTTATTTTCTGACAATTTCATGTATGTATACAATGTATTTTTGATCAGATTCACCTAACAATAGTCCTGAATAAAGTCGTTGGTACTTTTTTTTTAATGGTGTTTTTGAGACAGGGTCCCACTATGTAACTCTGCTGGCCTGGAACTCACTATGTAGACAAGGCTGGCCTTGAACTTACAGATCCACCTGACTCTCCCTCCTGATTGCTAGGATTAAGGGCATGTGCCACCAAGCCTGGTCTTTCCTTACCAATTACAGATGTGCGTGAATAATTTTTTCTTTAGTAAGGCTTGACTAGACAGTTCACAAATGTATATGATTGTTAAAAGCTACATAAGTGTTTAATATCATTATTCATATGAGGAATGCAAGCTAAAACAATTAAAATAACTAAGCAGACTGAAAATAATAAATGTTACTAAGGAAATGGAATAACTGGACTCTCCTGTATTACTGGTAGGAGGAAAAAAAAGGTACTACCATTTTGGTAACCTGACCAAAGTTTAACATGTATGATTTGATTTAGCAGTTTAACATGTATAATTTAGAAATTCCACTCACAGACATAGAGCTACAGGAGAACCTGTAAAGCATGTTCATGTCAGCCTCATTCATAATCCCAAACTGAAAAACAAATCAAATGTCCCATCTACAGGACAGTGGATAAACACAGGTGGTGTACTGCATAAAAGATTATGATTTGGAAATGTGAAGAGGAAAAAATTCTGATATATTCAGCATGAATGAGTCTGAGAGGCCAGGTACAAACTCTAACTCCAGCCATGTGGAATCTAATATGAAGTACATCAATTTACAGTGTCAGAAATTACAAAGCAGTATCTTTTGGAGAAGGGTAGGGAGTGTTTAGTGGACAGGAAGCAATATGAGAAAAATTTCTGCAGTGTCAGATACCTTGTTTTAGGTGATAGTTACAAGAATATAAAAGTGTTAAATCTCATCAAACAGTACTTAAGACCTGTGCTTTGAGACAGTATCTTATATCCCAGGGCTGGCCTTGAACTCGATGTATAGTCAAAGATGACTTTGAACTTTTTTTTTTTTGGTCTTTTTGAGACAGTCTCCCCGCTAGCTGGCCTGGATTCACTATGGAGACCAGGCTGGCCTCAAACTCACAGAGATCCACCTGCCTCTGCCTCCCCAGTGCTGGGATTAAAGGCGTGCACTGACTTTGAACTACTGACTTTGAACTTTTTATTCTCCAGCCTCCACCTCTTCAGTGCTGGGATAAAAGATGTATACCACCATGCCTGGTTGGTTGTTATGGAGTGCTGGGAACTGAACCTAGAACTTTGAGCATGGTAGGCAAACTACCAACTAAGCTGTATGCCCAGTCATCTTTACGTTTTATATAAATCATACCTTACTAAAAGACAAAAAGGTATAGTAAGTCTTTGAAACCAGGGTATCCTGCATGCCAGACAAGTGTTCTACTGCTAAGTTACCTCCCCAGACTCATAAAAGAATTTTTGGGGGGCTGGAGAGATGGCTCAGTGGTTAAGAGCACTGACTGCTCTTGCAGAGGACCTGGGTTTGATTCCTAGAACCCATATGGTGGCTGTGAACTATCCTTAACTCCAGTTCCAGGGGATCTGAAGCCCTCTTCTGACCTCCGTGGCACTGCATGACACAGGTGCTCTCATATATATGCAGGCAATACACTCATAAACATAAAATAAAAATAATAAAATATTTAAGAAAAAAAAAAGAATTTCTGAGTGCTCGCCTTGTCAGCACATATACTAAAACTGGAGTGATATAGCCCCTGCGAAAGGATGACACACAAATTTGTGAAGCATTACATATTAAAAAACAAAAGAAGAGAATTTTGATTAATTTTACTTACCCCAAGAATATACTGGCAGGAATGAGGCTCTAGCATATATACAGTTACGGCATGAGGAGAATCAGATTCCTTACATCTGAAATAGAGAGTACTTTAAGGTGCTGCCTGAATCATACAAAATGAGATGGCTTTTGTTATCCTAATTAAGATACAAAAACCTCATTCAAA